ACGAACGAACGAACGAAAAGAACGAACGAACGACGAACGAACGAACGAACGAACGAACGAACGAACGAACGAACGAACGAACGAACGAAACGAACGAACGAAACGAACGAACGAACGAACGAACGAACGAAACGAACGAAGAACGAACGAACGAACGAACGAACGAACGAACGAACTAACGAACGAAACGAACGAACGAACGAACGAACGAACGAACGAACGAACGAACGAACGAACGAACGAACGAAAACGAACGAACGAACGAACGAAACGAACGAACGAACGAAGAACGAACGAACGAACGAAACGACGAAACAACGAACGAACGAACGAACGAACGAAGAACGAACGAAAACGAACGAAAAGAACGAACGAACGAACGAACGAACGAACGAACGAACGAAACGAACGAACGAACGAACGAACGAACGAACGAACGAACGAACGAACGAACGAAGAACGAACGAACGAACGAACGAACGAACGAACGAACGAACGAACGAACGAAACGAACGAACGAACGAACGAACGAACGAACGAACGAACGAAAACGAAACGAACGAACGAACGAACGAACGAACGAACGAACGAACGAACGAACGACGAACGAACGAACGAACAAGAACGAACGAACGAACGAAAGAACGAACGAACGAAACGAACGAAAACGAAACGAACGAACGAACTAACGAACGAACGAACGAACGAACGAACGAACGAACGAACGAACGAACGAACGAACGAACGAAGAACGAACGAACGAACGAACGAACGAACGAACTAACGAACGAACGAAACGAACGAACGAACGAACGAAACGAACGAACGAAACGAACGAACGAACGAACGAACGAACTAACGAACAAACGAACGAAACGAAGCTAACGAACGAACGAACGAACGAAACGAAACGAACGAACGAACGGACGAACGAACGAACGAACAACGAACGAACTAACGAACGAACGAACGAACGAACGAAAACGAACGAAACGAACGAACGAACGAACGAACGAACGAACTAACGAACGAACGAACGAACGAACAACGAACGAACGAACGAACGAACTAACGAACGAACGAACGAAACGAACGAACGAACTAAACGAACTAACTAAACTAAAACTAACTAACTAACGAACGAAATAACGAACTAACTAACTAACGAACTAACTAACTAACTAACTAACTAACTAACTAACTAACAACTAACTAACTAACTAACGAACTAACTAACTAACTACTAACTAACTAACTAACTAACTAACTAAACTAACTAACTGACAATGACTAATCTAAGTCTTTGGACTACATTCAGGATTAATCTCTAAACAAGTCTATAAACTGTTAATACGTACAGTGAGACTTAGAAAAAAAACAATTTTCCAGCCCTGCACATAGCTATACATTCAGTAAAGAATAGAAGAAATTATATGATATTGGTTGTGATTTCATAGTTGCCAGATTTAAGTAATTTGTCAACGATATAGTCTGCCAAAGTTTAGCTATTTACGATTTATAATAAAACCTGAGATCTCCAAAAATGTAGTAAACAGTCGCTATAAAATTAATTTTAAACTTAAAATCTAAAAAGTAAGCAAATTACAAATTTTACATTGAATCTTGTATTTCACAAAATTTTTATTTTCCAATGTTTAGAATTGTTAAGTCTTGAACGGTTTTTTCGTTTACAAAGTAGTACTTAAGTTCACCAATACATGTTGCCCTTACTACTAAACAACCAATCACAACGCTACAACAACATCAATGGAATTTTACTAGGCTTTAAAAGTAGGATCCATGAAAAAGTGAGAAGTACGTAGTAGGGATCGTCTATTATTGTCAAAAGTCTCATGACGATAGGTTGCATTTAAAATTAACATTTTAAGGTATAATTAAAACAAAAGTTTCAAGTATTATATATCAATGGATAGGTAATTTTATCTAGTTTATAGCATAAAACTTGTTTGAAAAAGTATATTTAATTCCTTATACTATGCCACCATATTTTTGTGTTTTTTTTTTCATAAAATTTCTATAATTTCTCCATCTTGCAACCTATTTCAATTCATTTGTGTTTAGTTTGAGTGGTTGGTTAGTCACACGCTTTGTTTATATTTTCCTTTGGTGGGTCGGTCAATTGGTTGATTCTCATTGTTTTGGTGGAATCTGCATTAAATGAATGAATAATTAGATGGACGGATGGATGGATGTTTAAAATACACAGATTGGCTGCTGTAGTTGTTGTTGATGATGCTGCTGCTGCTACCGCTATTAAACTGTTGCTGTTGTTAAATTGTATATACTCATGTGCTTATTGTTGTTGTTATTGTATTGTTATTACTGCTGATATGATGAACTCACTCACAATCAGTTGTTGTTTAAAAATTTATTTCATTTTGTTTTTCTTTTTTTTTTGCTGCTTTATTAACAACAATAAAATTCAATTTATTTCAATTAACCAAACAACCAACAGCAGCAGTAGCAGCTACAGCAGCAACCAACAATTTTGTGTATAAGTATTCAACAGTTAGAAATTCACTCATTTATTTTATTTGACTCATTTGACTCAATCACTCACTAGATTTGTGTATATGAACTTAAATGTATAATATGTACATTTTGTAGATATCTACAGAACATTACAAAAACAATTTTGTTAGAAATTTTTAAAGTTATATGGTCAAATGTTAACAACTTTTTAAGTTTCCAAAAAAGGTTGAAGCAATGATATGGACATGATATGGACTAATCCATGGACTAGTATATGGACTAGTCTATGGACTAGTATATGGACTAGTATATGGACTAGTATATTGGCTAGTATATGGACTAGTCTTTTGACAAGACTATGGACTAGTCTATTGACTAAAGTACGGAGTAGTCTACTGATTGTTTTTTGGACTAATCTATTGATTTCACTACGGACTGGTATATTAACAACACTATGGACTATTGACTAGTCTATTGACTAGCTTACTGACTAGTATATGGACTAGTATATGGACTTGAATATTAACTAGTATATGGAATAGTCTATTGACCAGTATATGGTGTACTCTAATGACTTGCTTTTGGAAAATCCTATTGACTAGACTATGGACTATTCTACTGTCTAGTATAAGGACTAGTCTATTGACTAGACTAAGGACTAGTCTATTGGTTAGACTATGAACTTGTCTATTGACTAGTCTACTGTATAGCATAGGGACTAGTCTATTGACTAGACTATGGACTAGTCTATTGAATAGACTATGGACTAGTCTATTGATTATACTATGGACTTGTCTATTGACTACGCTATGGACTTGTCAACTGTCTAGTATATGGACTAGATTTTTGGTTAGATTATGGATTAATACATTGTCTGATCTATAGATTAATGACTTCAATATGGACTAGTCTATTGACAAGACTATGGACTTGTCTATTGACTAGACTATATACTAGTCTATTGACTAGTATATGGACCAGTCTATTTTCTGGAATATGGACTAGTCTATTGACTACTATATGGACTAGTTTATTGACTAGGCTTTTGACTAGACTATGGACTAGTCTATTGACTACTATATGGACTAGTTTATTGACTAGGCTTTTGACTAGACTATGGACTAGTCTATTGACTAGACTATAGACTAGTATATTGGCTAGACTATGGACTAGTTTATTGACTAGACTATGAACTTGTCTATTGACTAGTCTAGCTAATAGACTATGGACTACTCTATTGTCTAGACCATGGACTACTCTATTGTCTAGACCATGGACTAGTCTATTGACTAGACTACGGACAAGTCCATTGACTAGACTATGGAATAGACTATGGACTAGTCTATTGACTAGACAATGGACTAGTATATTGGCTAGACTATGGACTAGTATATTAGCTACTATTTCATGTAAGGACTAGCCACTAAATAGTATATGGACTAGTCTATTGACCAGTATATAGACTAGTTTATTGATTAATATATGGACTAGTCTATTGACTAGTATATGGACTAGTCTATTGATTAGACTATGGACTTTACTATTAACTGGACTATGGACAAGTCTACTATTTAGTCCTTATAGTATATGGACTAGTTTATTGACTAGTATATGGACCACTCTATTGACTATCATAACCTATTTGACTGGTCATCGATCAAGTAGAAGGACCAGTTTTTTCACTAGACTATGGACTAGTCTGTTGATTAAACTATGGACTTGACTATTAACTAGACTATGAACTAGTCTACTGTCTAGTATATGGACTACACTTTAGGTTATATTATATATTAATACATTGTCTGTTCTATGGACTACTGAAAAAACTATGGAATAGTGTATTGACTAGTATATAGGCAAGTCTATTGATAGATATATGACTAGTATATGGCATAATCTATAGACTATTCTATTGACTAGTCGTGAAGTAGTCTACATACTAGACTATTGACAGGTCCAAGTACTACTATATTGTTTTGTCTATGATGTAATATCTGGATTTTGCTGTGGACTAGTCTATTGACTGCACTATGGACCACTCTACTGTCTGATCTATAAATGAATCTAGTGACTGATCTATGGAGTAATCCATTAAGTATTATTTGGTTAAGTCTATGGAACAATCTATGAAAAATTCTATAGATTAATCCTGGAATCAATATATGGACTTATCTATAGACTAGCCTAAGAACTAATCATTGGCCTTCGTCCTTTGTTTAGATAATGTTTTTATCTATTAACTGGTCTAGTTACATGACTGTGTTTTTGCATTTTTCCAGACCCAGCAAAAGGAACTAAACTAATATACACATTTGTTGGGTATTCTAAACATTTTGGTAATTGAGTAAATTGTAAAGAAAAATTTCCACAAAATTTCCAAAAAACCCGCATTTTTTAAAGCATATTTAAAAAATTTTAATTTAATTTAAGAAAATCTTGTACTAAACAAAATAATATCACCAAAAATGACATAAATACACAGTCAAACTCATATACAAGATACTTACACATTTATGTACTCACAATCACACTCACTTAACAATTTAACAAATTTATTTAAATTTCTTTGTCTCGTTAATTGTATTTGTTAGTTTTTTTTTATTTATTTTTAACACCAATTTCTAAACTCTAACAAAATCCATCAAACTAAACTCTAACACAAACTTATTCCGTGGTATGCGTTCTTTCGTTTTGTTAGTTCGCTATTGTTTTTTGCGTTATAAATTTTTGCAGTTGGTTGTTGTTGTACTATTTGCATTCAACGGATGCTGTTTATTTATTGTTATTTTGTTTTTATTATTTTGTATCTTTTATTCGTATTGTTGTTGCTTTTGTTTGTTATCTATGTATCTGTAAGTATATGTGTGTATCTATGTGTTTTTGTTAAATATTCACTCATATTTGGTCTCTCTTTTTAACGCACTCTCTCGTTATTAATCTCTTGTTTTGATTTTACTCCCATTGTTAAAACAATATTTACTGCTCTTAAATTGTTTAAATATTAAAATTGTTTATAGGGGTCATTTATTTACAGTAATTTTTTTCTACAAATTATTTATATGACTACGTAGTTCCCCCTACCTGCCCCCCTTTTGAAGATTATTCTCTTTACTTTCAATTATTAGCAACTCAAGAGAACTGGCAATAGCAACAAACAATATTGTTTTAATTTGTTTGAAATTCAATAAATTACCAATTTATTGGTCGAATCGAATCGAATCGAATTTAAAAACTACCGGAAATGGCAAAATGTACAAACAAAATCTTGGTAATTTAAACTAATTTAATGTTAAATTCCCATAAGATTGAACGAATTGTAATTAATTTTTAGAAAGAAATATGAGCATTCAATAGGGAGGGACAATTTTAATTTGGAGATTCTGATGAAAGAACAATACATACTTGATATTTTTGCAATGCCTTGTTACTCTATAGTTAAGATAAAATATTAGTCTATAGAACATATATTTATATATACTATACTAAAGACTAGCATGAATTATAGATCTGAATACAGTCCAGACTACATACTAAATTATAGTCAGAGTAACAAACTATTTTATAGTTAATATAGGCTAGACTTAGACTGGGCTATGGACTATAGTCTGGACTATAGCTAGCCTAAAGACTGTAATATAGACCAGATTTTACACTAGAATATAATTGAGACTTCTGACTACACTATAGTCCATACTTTAAACTGGACTTTATTACAGACTGACCCTTAGTTCACACTATAACCTAGACCGAAGCAATCCAGGCTATAGACTAGAATATAGTTAATCATATACCACAACTGAGCCCATCCTGTAAATTAGTTACTTAGTTAGTTAGTTAGGTTGTTAGTTAGTAGTTAGTTATTAGTTAGTTAGTTAGTTATTTAGTTAGTTAGTTAGTAAGTTAGTTAGTTAGTTAGTTAGTTAGTTAATTAGTTAGTTAGTAGTTAGTAGTTAGTTAGGTTAGTTAGTTAGTTAGTTAGTTAGTAGTTAGTTTCTTAGTTAGTAGTTAGTAGTTAGTTAGTTAGGAGTTAGTAGTTAGTTAGTTAGTAGTAGTTAGTTAGTTAGTTAGTTAGTAGTTAGTGTTAGTTAGTTAGTTAGTTAGTTAGTAGTAGTTGTTAGTTAGTTAGTTAGTTAGTTAGTTAGTTAGTTAGTTAGTTAGTTAGTAGTTAGTAGTTAGTTAGTAGTTAGTAGTAGTTAGTTAGGTAGTTAGTTAGTTATTGTTAGTTAGTTAGTTAGTTAGTTAGTTAGTTAGTAGTTAGTTAGTTAGTTAGTTAGTAGTTAGTTAGTTAGTTAGAGTTAGTGTTAGTTAGTAGTTAGTAGTTAGTTAGTTAGTTAGTAGTTAGTTAGTTAGTTAGTTCGTTAGTAGTTAGTTAGTAGTTAGTTAGTTAGTTAGTTAGTTAGTTAGTAGTAGTAGTTAGTTAGTTAGTTAGTTAGTTAGTTAGTTAGTTAGTTAGTTAGTTAGTAGTTAGTTAGTTAGTTAGTTAGTTAGTAGTTAGTTAGTTAGTTAGTTAGTTAGTTAGTAGTTAGTTAGTAGTTAGTTAGTTAGTTAGTAGTTAGTTAGTTAGTTAGTTAGTAGTTAGTTAGTAGTTAGTGTTAGTTAGTTAGTTAGTTAGTTAGTTAGTTAGTTAGTTAGTTAGTAGTAGTTAGTAGTTAGTTAGTTAGTTAGTAGTTAGTAGTTAGTTAGTAGTTAGTTAGTTAGTAGTTAGTTAGTTAGTTAG